TCTCTGTCAAACACGCTTTTCACGCGCGATACTCGTACTGTCTGACGTACTTTGAACCTGTAGTGTTTGATCTTGTGTTTGGTTGGCCTGCCTTTGGTCCTAAGTGAGTACTGCTGAAGTCTGCTTTCTCCTTCTGACTCTTTAGTAATGTTTATCGGTTTATCACCAAGACTTCTATGTATAGTTGAGTTATATAAAAGTACAATACTCCTGACACGTCAACGTAACGTTGGGTTCTGTTTTTTATCATATATCTAAACAGTTTATGCTTTAGCGTCTTGATACATATCTCCGCAAAGTTCGCTTTTGTCTCCGTATTTAAAGCGTAGAAATGATGAATGTTCATGTGCTGAAGATATTTATTGACCTCTTTGCTTCTAAACTCCATGCCTGTGTCTGTTCTCACCGTATTTGACTTTCTAGAACCGGATAAAATTCCCTCTAATGCATTAACAACATCAGCCCCTTTCTTGGTTTTGATAGGTTCACAATAGCCAAAGCGAGAAAAAAATATATATTGCCACTAAAACGTATTTATAACCGTCATTATGTTTTGCCAAGTCAACCATATCCATCAAGTCCATATCCCATTGACTGTCTATTCCTTCTACAATGACGCGTGATCGAGGAAACTTCCTTCTGGCTCCTCTGGTTAGGGAATAGGCCTGCTGGCTTTGAAGCCATCTTTGGATTTTATGCCTCCAGATTTTAAATTTTCCCTCATACTTGATATATTTGTACAATTTTTCTACACCTGAAGAGCTTGCTGGGTTGGATGTGTCAAAATACAAAGAAGACAAATACTGTTTCCAGTTAGACATGTTTATTGACAACAAATACAAATGCACATTCTTACAAAATTATGAAAAATGTATTCAAACCATATTACAATACAGTGGAGTATAAAGTATGTGTTCCGGTTTCTTCTATATAGCGTTCCAAAATGTCGAGTAAATGTTCTGTAGCTTCGCGATATTCTCGTCTCATTTGATAGTGTCTCAGCCATATCCAAACCATACAAACAAGTGTTAACATATTCAATGCGTCTGGTGGGTCGTGAAAGCCTTATTATTGACAAACAAATTTGCTCCAGTTGTAGTTGAACTGAATCCTCCAAAGTCCAAGGTGTTGACCTAGTTGTTGATACAAACGCGCCAAATCCGCCTATTGGGGTCGGTTTTTTGTTGTAATGTTCTCTCAAAGCGTTGTCTGATCTTACCCAGTCACTCAATTTAATGTTACATCTGAAACACTCGCACACGTCTGATTTTCCGCTATAATACAATCCCGCAGTTGCTAACTGATATTTATCTGGTATCATTTGTTTCAGATAGGTTTCAAACGTCTTCAGTCTATTTTCGTAATATTCCATATTTTAGTTGAGGGGTGTGCAGTCAGTTACGTTCATTTTTTGTTTGCCGAAGCTTTGTAAAGTATTCATTTATATACGCGCTGTTCGATTTCTGATTGGATGTTATTTTTAGAATAAGGTTATCGATCTATTTATAGTACTTTTGTCATTGCTATTTATAGTCTATTCTACCAGTTTCCACAATCATTGGGGTTGCATTCTGGGCATTGTAGAGCTCCAACCTGGTTCATGTGATCACTTTGTAAATAACAGGGTACTACTGCATCCAATTCAGGTAAAACTCGTCCTATCTATGCAACCAGTTCCTTTAAACAGGAATCCTTTTTGGGTCTTAAACATACACCCTTTTTAGTTGGTACTATTTCCTGTTCTGGCTTCCAGTACTGTCTAATGTCTACACATACGCTGTTGTCGGTGATGTTACTTAAACATTTCCTCCAACGTGGGTCCTATAGCTTTGCTTGTTTTGTAAAGCCCTGTCCGCATATTCTAACTGATCTACCAGGTTTTCCATCGCATTAACGTTAAGCTGATGCCCTTTTTTGTTGGTTTGTCATCTAGCCATTCTCTAATATCCACTCTCAGCTCGCCTTTCCATTCATTAACTTGTACATATCTCTGATTACCGATACTGAACTTGCATCTGTACATAGCTAGTCATGTTTATTGCTCGAGTATCAGAACTCTAATGACCAGTGTTAGTATCGCACTGTCTTACAAACAACAGAGGTCTCTCCTGATTGGTTAATCTCTTATGCATTTGATTGGCTGTTTAAAGAAACGTTTTTATTGGTAGTTATTTTTAGAATAGAAGATCATTGCTAATTTTATATATATACATCATCAAACACGTTTCATATATAGGTGACTCCTTGTTAAGGTTTGTTTGTGACATTTCAAAAGACTATTGTTAACCCGACTTTAGACGGAAAAACTTTGACAGTTGAATGGAGCATTGTCCGCATATCCGTCCCTAAATAGACATACGCCAGACTAAGTGGCGACTTTAAAGAGATTTGCTTTAACATTTCAATAGGCCATTGTTAGTGTTTCCGTCCCTAAATAATCACACGCCAGATATTGTGGCGACTTTAATGGGATTAACTTTGACATGTTTACTTTTTATTGTGGAACATCCGTCCTTAAATAAATAAACGCTCGACTATGTGACTATTATCGTTGCACTCGTGACCTAATCTAAATATAACTTATGATGTCGCTTGTAAAAACAGGTCCGAGCATGCGCAATAAGTACAATTACATTTATGATTGGACTAATTTTATAACTGACGTCTAGCAGGAAACATCGTCAACAAAAGTACTATTTTCAGGTAAAATGTATTTATTTTATACATTGTTTAATGTGTCAGTTTTTTAAAAAAGTATTCCTTTTCATATATTTATTTTTGCATCAATATAGTTCGTTTTAATTCAATCCGTGTTTGGATAAATCTATATGATATTTAAATATATTTCATATATAGTTCTTTTTATCTGCAATATATTTTGACATTTTATAATTATTTTTTTTCACTAATATTGTTCAACAATGTATTTACTTATACTGTTTGATAAGTTTTGATAATAAAATAAAACTTTTATCTCTGTAATAATTGGTCATCTCTTCGTTGAGGGCTGAGCACCTGACCCTCAATGTGCGCGACCACGCCCTAAATCGTGTATACAATTCAGCTCTGTATACTTCCGGGAGATAAAAATAGAATAATAATATCATTTTAAAATTAAACGTTATTCTAAAACAAGAGGGCCATGATGGCCCTGAAGTCGCTCACCTGTATATAGGCCCCTGAAGCGGGGCCAGTTTAAGCCCCAGGGCTTTTATTTGAACAAACATGGTAGACACCCATTAGAAGATGTTTCATGCTAAACATCTAAGGTCTAGCTGGTCAAGTTATTTCTTTACACATTTAGTTAAAAACAGTGACACACCTGGGGCGGGGCCAATTTTGACCCCAGGGCTTTTATTTGAACAATCTTGACACTTACTAGAAAATGTTTCCTGCTTAATATCTAAACTCTAGCTTTTTGCGTTTTTTCAAAGAATTTTTAAGTTTCTGCTATACACATATAAGGAAAATCAATTTACCCCGGGGCGGGCCCAATTTTGACCCCAGGGCTTTTATTTGATTAAACTTTGTAGACACTCACTAGAAGATGCTTCGTGCTTAATATCTAAACTCTAGCTATTTGAGTTTCTTCAAAGAAGATTTTTTAAGTTTTGTATACACAAATAAGGAAAATGAATGTCCCCCGGGGCCGGGCCAATTTTGACCCCAGGGCTTTTTTTTTTAACAAACTTGGTAGAGACTCACTAAAAGATGTTTCATGCTTAGTATCAAAACTCTAGCTATTTTTTTTTCCAAAGAAGATTTTTTAAGTTTTTGCTATACACATATAAGAGAAATCAATGAACCCGGGGCGGGGCCAATTTTGACCCCAGGGCTTTTATTTGAACAACTTGGTAGACACCCATCAGAAGATGTTTCATGCTAAATATCTTAGCTCTAGCTCTTTGGGTTCTTTAAAAGAAGATTTTATAAGTTTTTACTATATGCATATATGGAAAATCAATGACCCCCTGGGGCGGGGCCAATTTTGACCCTAGGGCTTTTATTTGAACAAACTTGGTAGACACCCATTAGAACATGTTTCATGCTAAATATCTTAGCTCTAGCTCTTTGGGTTCTTTAAAAGAAGATTTTATAAGTTTTTACTATATGCATATAGGGAAAATCAATGACCCCCTTGGGCGGGGTCAATTTTAAACCCAGAGCTTTTATTTGAACAAACTTGATAGACACTCACTAGAAGATGTTTCATGCCAAATATCTAAGCTCTACCACTTTGGGTTTTTTTAAAGAAGATATTTTAAGTTTTTTCTTTCGGTTGCCATGGCAACCAGAGTTCTGCATGGAATTAATTTCTTTGAACAATTTTTTTAAGGTGACCACCTAAGGAACATTCCTGTGAAGTTTGGATGAAATTGGCTCAGCGGTTTATGAGGAGATGTTATTTAAAGAAAAAAATTACGGACGACGGACGGACGACGGACGGACGGACGGACGACGGACGGACGACGGACGGACGGACGGACGGACGCCGGACGGAAAGCGATCACAAAAGCTCACCCTGTCACTTTGTGATAGGTGAGCTTAAAAGAACGATGATGTCATTCTAAACAGATGATGTCCTTCTAAATATACAAGCCATTAGATAAACATAAACAGATAATGTCATTCTAAAAATAAAACGATGATGTAATTCTTAAAAAAGAATCCAAAATGGCCGCCGCGCGTCTGTTATTCAACACGGCCGCCGCGCATGTGTAGTAAGGTTATTTATTCTATGCAAATGAGTTACTATTTATAGAAAACAAAATGGCCGCCGCGCATGCGCAGTTTTGGGGGTAAAGATACCCCTATACTACTAACAGTGTTTTGTAATTTTGCGAAGTCTGTATATAAAATAAACAGTGACAAAGAATATTCGTTGATTAAAGAAACAGTTGAAAAAACCAACAGCTGCCTGATAGTTTAACAGTACTAAAATTGTGAACTCATGAACTATCTGCTATTTTAACCAGACGTTTGTATATACATGTATTTACCTTAATTCCTTTAATTCTTCTTTAACCTTTTCCTGTTCCTTCAAACGTTTTTCCTCCTCTTCAGCACTGCAATGAGTTTTTTCACCAGGATACAGATATGTTTCAATAAGCCACTTCCAAAAGTCTTCCTCGCTTAAAGTAAGATACTTGATTTTCTCTGACGATTCCGGAACAAAATTCAGATATTCAGCATATGGTTCAGCTGGTGCCGTAGCAGGCGGAGCTGTATCTGTATAAACATTATTTTCAAAATATATTGATAAAAGAATTATCAAGTGATTATAGAAGCAGCGAAATATTTCTTGATGTATCTTTCGATTTAATGTCAAGTACTTTATAATAAGAATTCTATATACTTATTATTATACATGTTTACAATTATAAACACGAAACAAGTTAACACTGAATGACTTCAGATTTGATAAATATCTGTGACAAAAATCTAAACAAAATATTTGAAAAGGAAAATGTAAGTTTTTATCAAAAAATACTTTACAGCACAATATAATGCATACTTGTCGCTGTATCAGAATGTTTTTCTCCATTATCTTCTGATTTGCTATCATTTGCATGCAGTGTTCCAGCCTCTAACTTGTTTAAATCGCTCTTTCTCTGTTCTAACCCGACATCTACTTTATTATCCCTTTGCAACACTTGCGGTTGACAGCAGCTGCAGCTTAAACTGCGATATAAATGGCAATAAGCTGTTAAATAATTAAGCATATCTTTCATCTTGAGATTTTAAAAGAGTTAAAAACGTGAAAATCTCGAAAAAAATGTTATGGAAATATTCCTTTATCAATAACATATATGATTTTAATGTTGCATGTCCTGCTTTTTAATTCAAATTCCCTTTTGAGACTGATATTAAACCATTTAATGTAATATGACTATGGAATACAAAATATTCAAACGATAACTCGGGCTCCTTCATGTATAAATCTATTTTAATTTAAATACTTAAAATGCTATTAAAACATGTATTAAGTGATACTTAAAAGTATAAAAAAGTTATTGTGTCAAAATAATTGTTCGAATCTGGGACAAGCGAAGTTAGAAAAAAAAAGATATTACATTATATCCACCAAACTTTGAATATCCCTCACATTATTGTTGTCTTCCTTTCCATCACCTTTTAAAAACAAGTCATGAAATGGCTCAAAAAGTTATAATATTGAATTCAATTTTGAGTAATTTGGGATCATTATTTACAAAAAAATTATATGGTACTGATTGTAATGCAAAAAACACTTTGTATACCATTGCTGTATTTCAGTTAACAATTTAAAATAATAATAATAATAATGTTACAGTAAACACAAAATATTGTTTGACAACTTTTAATTGTTCTAAAACACTTGTGACTGAGGGGTTGCCTCTTCCGATCCTGTATGTTGTAATTAAGGATGAAACAACACTTAAGTGAAATTTTATATTTGTATATAATTATTCTTCAAAAACAATTTCAAAACATCTAAGAATATGTTACATATGTACTGCAAATATGTATACGCTTTCTTAGTAAATATTACAATCTATGCATTTATTTCTTACTGAAAAAAATGATTTACACTTATAGAATAAATAGAATTGTAATTATCTGCCTGTATTAACATGTAATGTAAATTCAGTTATATCTTTACAAATAATGCTTTTTGGAACTTACAATATTGATAAATCGTCTTTTAAGCATCGGACTTATGATATAAAACAATGAAAATTGAGTTACAGGATGGATCTTTAATGTTTATGCATTAGGACTGCAGGCACCGTTTATCCCAGCGCGATCGTAAGATGCGACTGAACAGGTTCGAATTACTGCATCTCTTAGCTTCTTACGTGGTTTGGACTCTTGGTGTGGCGTTTGTAACACCCGTGGTTATCCAAAATAATCTCTCGTTTTCGCCCCATAAAATCAAATAAAACGAAAAAAAAAATAATGATAATAATAAATACTCGTGAAAGTACCATTAATTTCTGGATAGGGATATATTTCAGTGAACACGTTTTTGCATAAAGCTTTTCTTTAAAAGTTTCTATTTCGTTACCTTGCTTTGTTTTAGGAGCCTCGCGGGTTCCCCAAGAAACGTTGTTCATATTAATGACCGAATACAACATAAGAAGCATTGACATAGACGGAATGGCAATGAAAAATAAAAAGCCATGGATGAGACATTTTGTTTCCTGAAATAGCAAGTTAAATCTTCATGAAAATATTAATTTAAGAACATTCATAGAGTAAAGCCTATATAATTAATGCTTTGTTTTTATCCCAGTTCTATTTTCAAAATCTTAATATATTTTACGAACTATTCATAAATACAAAAATATATTTTTTTAGATATTGTTTTTCCGACTGGGAAAGACACAAACTAATACAAAATGTTTTCAACTTTTACCAATGTAAGGTTTCTTAAATTACTAGTTGAGAACAAGACAATACAATTGATAACAACCTTTGGGTGAGATAATCCTGACAGTACAAATATACCAGACACAATAAGGAGAAACCAGGTTATGACTGAACACAATCCACTTTCGACAACCTCTCTTATCAAACCAACAAGAACTATCATCATAACAAGTGTGTAAATAATGGACAGTGCGGCTGCTACATTGAGCTGAAAAAGTGTATGTCAATGTTTAAAGCTTTAGAATAAAGCGGACATTAATATCAAATTGTGTAATTGTATAACATTGAATATTTATGATTAGGACACTATGTGTGTATGTTCGTTTGGGTTTAACGACACATCTATATATCACTGGTTGATTGCCATATAAGTGACGTGGTATGGTGGTTAGAGTAAATATGAATTCATATCCTAAATTTATATAAAAAAACGCTAAAAGAAATGCTTTTAATTTTAAATTCCCACACGAAAGTTTCCTATAATACTAGAAATAAAATTTATATACATTTTTCTAAGGTTTGATACAATTGAAATATTTATGCTCATCTGGAGGCATGCAGGTTGAAACTAGAACATGTTTTACTTCGAAAACATAAATGGTAGACTTTTCAATCTTATACTAAATTAATATTAAAATTATAATCAGGGATATATAATCTGTTACCAATGTTCTATCAAATGTATGTCCGTGCACAAATATATTTGAAATAATTCAAAGTCACAACATAATTAGCTCAGGTAATCTTAAAATAAAAATTTATTTGGGAATTTTGTCGCAAAACTAAGCCGGTACCTGGTGTTCAGTTTTGGCAAAGAAGCAAACAATTACAAACAAAACAACAGGTAGTAAGTTAATCAGCAAGGCGGCATGCAGTGATAACTGAGGATAGGCAAGATTCGTCGCCCCGATTATCATCAGTAGAAGAACGCCAGGGGTCAATATTGACGACACAAACCAGGACAACTGCAGACAAATGTACGGTATAGAGACGTTGTCGTTGTTTCTCGTTATTACTCTCCAGTCCGACAACAAATCTAAAATATTTGCCATCGTAGAAGGTGTCCAACGTCGCCGCTGGTTATAAAATTCTTTGAAACCTATATAAAAAATAAGTGTATTTACTGTCTTTAATGGTTTGATCATATTTATGTTTCTTTTGTATACACAATTTTAACAGCCGTTAATGAATGCCCTTTGTACAGTATACAAATGTACATTAATTTTGCAATGTACAATAGAAAGCAAACACATGAATATAAATACTTACGAATGGTGTAATGTTTATTTTCTTTTAGAACGTGTCAAGTTAAATGTATATTGACGCTTAATTGCGCCGAGTTTAGAAAAATGCAGATTTGAAATAATAACAGACTGAAGTGGACATTGAGTAGATTACATTATAAGTCTTAAGAATACGGATCAAAACTAAAATAAAATTATATTTAGAACTTAAGAATAAATAAAAAATACCCTCAGGTGCAAACGTGAAAGCATCCGATCCAGCACAATAGTCGACCTTTTTGCCTTGCTTCAGCAGAAGCGTACATAGCCATCTGTCTTCGCCTATGCAAAAGACCAAGACTTCGTTGATATTTTGAATTTAATGCATAAGGTGGAAAACTGTATCTTGTATGTTATTTTTTACACTTTCAGGCCATTTTGATAATAATGTTAAAAGGTTACATAGCTGATTTCTTAGTTCAAAGATTTTCTAGCATTCTATGATATCAGTAGCAAAAGGATTTGTCATTTGCCGAAAAATGGTTTTAAATTCATTCGAGCTTTGGAAATTTGCCAAACAATCCAGGCTTAAAAACATTATTAACATCAATCTATTTATAAGACTACAGTTATTGTAATTAAATATACTCCTGAGATAGTTTATTTTGTGGTGAGCATTTTAGCTTACCTTGATCATATTGTATATGATGGCGAGCTTCGGTTGGCATGGTGGTGTATCTTTTCATTACGTTTTCATCCATCAATGCTGACCCTCTGAATAAACTAAAGCAACCAGGGCTGCAAAGAACGCAACCAGTCACGTGTTCTGTAGCCTTGACCAACCAATGGCTAATTGCATACTCAAACTTCTGATACCATACCATAGGTCCTGCAAATTTATTGTAATGTCAAGTTAAAGCAGCAGCCTCCAGATTCATGTTATTTCTTGTTGAAATTTTAAAGACTTAGATCTTAAAAGTAAAATATCATAACGTGAATTTACACATTGCAAATAACACTTTCAATCCATGTATATCTCCAAAAATGTACAAAAATGCAAAACAAAGCCCTTACTGCTTTAGTCACGCAGTAAAAATTTGGATCAGGTGATAAATAATGCAAAATCAATCATTAATCACATATTACAATTAAATCCTCACTTGAATCTTAAATCTTCGAAACATTTTAGTACATTTTATTAAGTTAAATGTCATGAGATAACTATAATAATCTGGAGGCAAATAGCTTTAAAAACTAAATATGATAATTGCAAAAAGATAGGATTTAAAAGATGACGCTCTGGAACCACTGATGCACCTTTTTGCGGTTTTACATGACAATAAAAACAAAAACCAAGGAAAATAAAAGACAATAAGCAAATGTAACGTAATACAAAAATCATAAGATAAAAGTAATGCTTTAATACGTGAACATTTGAGAATATCTTTGAATGCATCTTTATATTATTTTTCCTTTATTTTACATACATAAAAAACGACAATCCAATGTTTTATTTTTGTAATAAAAGGAACCTATTATCAAACATTAACGTTTCTAAAAAATAAACTAACCATCTCCTATTGGATGTATCCGTCCGCAAGCTGCGCCCGTCTGCTCATTCCTTTTCATTCTATCAATCAACAGTGTGACAGCTTCTGGTCTGAAGTCAACATCACCGTCCAGAGCGAATATGAAAGTGTTCCTCGCTATCTCTAATTGTTTATCTTGGTCTTGTTCAACATCACTTAGTTTATGTGAAAGGAAATAGTACATATACATCACCTGAAACAGAAAGAATAAACTTTTTTTCAGAATAACAATAGTGAAAATAATGTTTAAGAGTGGAATTTGTACACTTTGAATGAATATGATCATGACAGATAACAAAAATCCATCGAGCACTCTTGTATAAATCAATGATCATATAATAATCATTATATTTATTACAATAATTTGCTTGAATCCTAGTATTAGTGAATTATAATTATAATAACTTGACATGATATCCACAGTTTTTACATAAAATGTTTTATTTCTTAATACTTCAATTAGAATGATTACAAATTTTTGATATTGATAAAGTTCAAAGTAGGATTTTTTTCTGACAATTTTAAAGACAAAATAAGAATGAAAAACCTGGCTCCATCGCTTCTTTCTTCTGATTTTGTACTTATCCTTCAGATGCGCAATTAGTCGATTTTCACCAGGTAACGTCCATATGAGACGACCCCCGTAAGGTGTAATTCTCCGTCGAGGAGACTTAATAGGTTTGATCTTGTTTTGATACAAACTCCTTTTAATGAAAATTTTTGTAAAAACAATTGAAAGAAGACATTTTTTTAATATAAATCGTGTGACAGCTAAAATGTTTACGTTACAAAGGCTAGTTTAAAGTGAAATAATATATCAAGATGTAAATGTTGTCTGAAATTACTATATATTTCAAAAGATTGACAATTATAACGGATGCTGTATACCATATTTGTAAAAAGAAGTATCATTATGAAAGATACTCAGCGAAGTAAAACTATGTAACTTGCATATGTTATAACCCATCCACCACATTAATTTTGCGAAAGTTTATTTTATTATTATCCTTTACATTTCATTTGATTGTTAACATCTTTAAACTACCCTGGCTAATAATTTTATTTTAGAATGACAAGAACTATCTTTTACGTCTTATTTTAGAATAGCCAATATGATTCCCAGATTTCATTTTGTAATTTTAAAATGACCAATGTTAATTCTTCTTATATTGAGTTTTTTTCTTGTACATTATACAGGAAGTCAAACTAACTTAAGACGTCCTTCGACCGGAAACCTTGTAACACAGATAGTATATAATTGATAAACAAATCATTTATAAAGAGCTTACTTGAAAGTACGGTACAAGGCTTTAATAAATGTATGTACGTAATGGTTTGCAATCATCTGATTCCCTTCAACAAATGCGTCATCGAAGAAAATATGTACTGTAAAATCAAAATACGATTGAAGTTCATGTGTAAACAAAAATATAAATGTGTCATTATTTTAATTATATCGATATTATATGCATTCCAATTATAGAGAAAATAGATGCAGGTCGACGTCACTACTTTTGGCGTATGGTCGTCTGTTTGTATTTGAAAATTTGAATGCTGTTATTATGTCTGAAGTAACCACACTATTGAAACAAAAAAAATAAGAAAAAGTAATTCAAGGTGATCATATAAAGAAATCTACCATTGTAATGAACTTCACTACTAAAACAATAAATTACAAGAAAAATGAGTTAATTGTAATTCAAGATGTTCATATAATCATAAATTATATAGATCCTCTATATATTGATTTGCTGTTTATATGCCTTGTTATTAATTACATGTAAAGTACATTTCTACCTTCAAAGTTGTAGTAATCTTGTTTTTGCTTGCGAATTCCCTGTACACATTGATCAAAATCCATCCTGTGAAAAAACAAAGTTTTCAATCATCTAAAACACTTAAACATTTAATAAAGTATGACTATCCTAGTGTAAATGATCAGAGAGAAGGTAAAAACTAAATAACATTTTACCATTTTTGTGTTTAATGTTATAGCTCCTTGATTGAATATAATTCAAATGCTAAATACAAGTGTATTGGGATCATGGTCAACAAGAAGCGGGGTTAAGTCGAAAAAGGACGTAGTAAAAGCGCCGTAATCGTAAATGCAGCACATTAGCAACATGGAGATATCTTCGTGGTGGTTAAAAAGCGCACTTAATACGTTGTACAGTAGGAAACATATCGAGAACGTAAGTATGATCTCTTTACGTTCATGACAATTCTACGAAGGCATACAATGACCCTACGCCGATCATATCACTTCCTATCAGACAGTATTTTGTTTATATAGCGCTGATATTTTACCAATCATCATCTGTCAACTACATATATATATATATATATATATATATATATACGGCAGCCCTGTAGAAGGATTTGTGTTATCCATTCCGAGTTCTCGCAGCTGTGTGTCAAAATGTCCAAACTAGAGTCTCCTATCTGCATATAGCTATGGCCGTACCCAATATCCTCTTTGATTTCTCATACACATCCGACTGTTACCGATCTTTACAATTACAATTTCAACCAATATTTGCTCTTGCTGGAGTAACGCCGGATGGATCAGATCAGCATCAATAAGTCCGTCCATGTTTGAAGTTTGGAAAGAAGTGAGAAATAAAGTTTGAAATTCAAAATATATATACATCATCGTCAAATTGTACTAGAAGCTCACTACAAGCGTGATACGATCGTCATAGCCGTAGCAATATCGGCGTACAGTCTTCTTGGTCAGCGTAGCGTCGTAATATGATCTTTAACTTCATAGCGGCAGCGTAAGATAACCACAGTAAACGCGACTGCTAGTCGGCAACGGTTTGCGTAACATTGTAGTAAAAGCGTATCAGCAGCGTGTTTGGCATGGGAACATCGTAGTACGACCGAATGAAGACCATATATTGTCACATTTTGCTCTATGTTGACGCCGATGGATCCAGATCGAATACGTTTTCAGTAAATGGCTTGATATGTATGATCGTCCTAAATTCGCAGCTCTGTGTGAATCGGCACTGGTTAAAAACTTTTCAATCATGAATACATATATCTTTTCATTAGAAATTTCATTGGCAAGAGACATGATTTAAGGGTCGTTTTCAAACTATCTGTTATCTAACTTTGCTTTGAGGAAATGATTGAACTAACAAACTTACTTAAAGAACTTTCGACAAAAAGAAATGCTCTAGCGTTTTCTTTTAGTTTATTAATGATGTTTCCTGACTTTCTGATGTTCCTTCATGCTGTTATGAACAATTTTTTCGAAGTGTTATTTTTATAATAATACAAATGAATGACTGAATTAAATAACGATATCGGTAAATTACTGAATTTGCCATTAATGTAACAAACCAATAGGCATGTTTACGATATAATACAGCAATCTTAACAATATGACTCTTTAAATATTACCTGTACAGAGACTTTAATAGCTGTACCATCTCAACTTCCGTTTCATGCCACATAGTAGCGCAAAAATATATCATTGGAAAACCTTCTAGTAATTTATTTGTTTTATTGCCTTCTTTCCTATTAGAATCTACGTCGGTCGTTCCTCCAGGGTTTGATTGGGAGACATTATCAGTCGTATCGTTTGTCTTTGAAACAGGTGTTGTCTGAAACTTAATTATTTGCAAGGTTTTGACATGCTATACGAAGCTAAATGTTGGAGTTTACTTACTTACACAATGAAATATGTAATAGAAAAATCATCGAAACACGAGGCTATCTGATTTGTACGAGGGGGCGTAGACAAAATGAACCAATCAATGGACATGATCTGCAGTGCGGGTAACTCATACATGCACTCCAAATAACGCCCTATGCATGTTTATGTATATGATTTACCTCTGACACCAAATTATGATACAACTTATTATTAAGATTTCTTTCTATTGCACTCTTGTATGCGAACGTATATTTTAAAATTATTTCAAACTATATTATTTCAACTATTTTCATTAGAAAATTGTTTTTTTTTTATAAAACTCTATCTCTGTATGAAAGGTAAATTATACTTTTATATATTGCGTTTTAATATTTCGCAAGCCTTGTTAAGTATACATGAACACAAATACAACAATGTGATCAGACATACGTTGCTCTCCTTGCATTTATTTAGCATTAACGACTGCTCCAAAAGTACTCCACAAAATGAAGGTGCATAAAATATCCTGAAATAACAAAACTTATATCTCTGTATTTCGACTTGTTCTGTGTTGCACACAAAAATAATAGACAGCAGTGTATAAAACACTTCAACTGTGTGTTTGTTATATTTTAGATGTGATGATCTCAATATCGACGAAAGATTTTGTGAAATATATTCGAAAGAATATGTAAAATTATAATTCTATAAACACGTACTTGATTGGACGTTATCTATTTTTTCAGTTGTGTCTTTAGTTTTACTTTTGTTTAATGCTAATATTTTATCAATGGACTAATTTTAAACAATAATACATCTCGATCAACATCATACATGCAAGTTAATTGATACATTATATACATACATGTTTTCTTTACTCATCCTTTCCGTTTCTATTGTCCATATATGGCCCGCTGTAAGTATGAGACCCAAGTATCCTGTGAGTGAAGCAATTATCATATATGCGAGATTGCTGATTGGCTTGTTCCCATCAAACCACGGAAATGGAAATTGGCATATATAGTCTCCATTGTTCAGCTATATTTAAACGAGTAGGAAAAATTAAATGCGTTGCAATAATAAAAAATATCAAAAAAAGGAAAAAAGAAAACAATTACAAACTAAAACAAATAAATTAATAATATATTTCTATTTATTAAGTAAAAAATAAAGAAGAACTGGTTAAAACAGATATTTAACTGTCTTGTTGTGCAGTAAACTAAATAGTTTGTTTTTGGCTTCTCGTCGTCCATAATAGCCGTTTGTTCAAGTAATTGCATAGTTTCCGGTTAAGATATTCACCTTAAATATATAGCTTAACAACGTTAATAATAAACATAAGTATAATTGATTCCTCGCCATCCAACTGTTTTACCAGTACGAGTCCGGACAAAATGACAACACAGCATTAAAGCTTTTCAGCAAGACATTGGGATGAACTAACAGACAGAAAATGGCAAATATTAGCAACCTCACCCCGTAAAGAGACGTAAAAAAATTGACAAACCTGAGAAGAAACTGTCACTATCAAAACAAATGTAACAGGTGTCACAAAACAAACAGGCGCTGAGAAGCCTTGAATCTGAGCTAGAACTTTTATTGCTGCGACACTTAGTCTGAAAAAATAAAGAAAAAATATGAATTTGAAAATTTAAAAAAATCTTCAGTAAGTATTGCATATCCATTAATGCATTAAATATATGATAGAATATATATAAAAGTGTGTCTAAATTTGCTTAGGCTTTCTTTAGCGATGATAAGGTCAATTCATATAAATTTAAAAAAGGGGAAAGAACATGAAAACCGAAAACTGAAATTTAAACGAAAGTGAATCACGATTGTCCTGTTTGTTTTAAATTTATATTGAAGAACTGTCACGAATTCAATTTCATAGAAGTTATGAGGAGTACTTGTTCAATATACATATAGTACCTTTGGCAAACGAGGCTAGTTGATATACCAACAACCGCGACAATAAATGGTGTAGCAGTTTCGCAGAGGTCCACGTTCAACAACCAGTTATCGTCTATAATCGGAGACATTTGTTTTGCAGGTTGGTTTAAACTCCCGAATAAGGCTTCCAAACAGTTGTCACATGGCGACCCGTGTATTGCAATAACCATCACAAAGGTAATACATATCTTCCATGTGTTGATGACTGCATGCATTTTAAAGCTACTGCGAAATATTGTGTGCTTGTACTCATAAATCCAGTTCGGGTATGAGATTTGTTTTTCACTGTCATCGTTGTCGTTTCTTTCATTACCTGTAAGTTCATTGTTATTGTTTGCATTCATAACCTTTTTCACGTGATTTTTTTTTTGACCGTTTCCTACTTCTTGTTCTTTTTGCAACTGAAACAGATATTTCCTTGAAGTTACATAGTCTTAATATTTTTGAAATTTTAGAGGCACGTATTGAATTTGAAGATATGAATCAAATATGTCATTTTGGGGTTAAGAGTTAAATGTTAAACGTTAGTATATCTGTTTTACGTATATATGCTATTATCTTAACTCAATTTAGTGGATATCATATTTGATGTAAGTCAACAGAGTTCATACAATAGAGTTTAACTGACCTCTTACTTTCTTTTCTTTATCGTTTTCAAACTGTTAATTGACGATACGAAAAACAATTTCATGAACAATTTGCTAAGATTTAGCTATTCCCATGGAGATTTAATTACGAACAACGTGATCAAACTTATTTGATTTGTAAAAAACGGTGTGATAATATAAACCTCATCAGAAATTATTTGGCCGTTCTTTGTTTTGTTGTTGTCGTTGTTGCTGAGTGCTTGCGTGCGTTGGCGCGCGTGCGTGTGTGTGTGTGTGCGTGCGCGTGTTTTCTAAAGGCAAATGTTGAATAGTAGTGGAACTTAAATGCCGTATGGTCCTTTTATGTAAGAAGAGCTGCCTATGCATGTAAAGGACATAAACAGATGCTTGATAATTAACATATACATAGAGTAACAATTTCTGGCGTAAACTTAGGAAATATATTAATTAAAGTGCATACACACATCACCGACATACATCAATGACAAATAACAGAAACATGATAAACAAACATAATGATTAACAACATTTATCTGTAAAGGACATAAAAACGCCTTGATAATTTCAATAAATACAAGTGAAACAATTTCAGTCGTGAACCAAATATATCAAAAATATCATAGACAGCATGCGTGAGATGTTTGTCTGTGAACTTTGTGGAAACAGAGGCCCGGCATGCAAGGTATGTCTAAATTAAATAATAAAGTAATTCGTTGTTAGAATTAATAGGTTATGAAATCGGAAGAAAATAAGAAAGTGGCCTGTATATCGGTCTGTAACGAAATATAACACATAGAAAACAAACAATTACACACGATATATACAAATATACATAAAACGATATTCGTAATAAAACGAATATTTAAAATTTAAAAAAGTGAAAAACACTATCCATCTTAAAATCTCCATCTTAAAACCATTTAATATCATATCATATTTTGATGCGCCCCGTCCGTTTCATAACGTAACATTTATTCAAAGATAAATCGGAACTGGCACACATTTCTTCACAAACTACTGTCATTAAATAATTCAAAATTTCATAGTTTCGTGTAAAAACTATTTCCATTGTAGCCATTGTATGTGAATATAATTATGTACTATAGAGGATATTGAATTAGTGTTGTTTCAGAATTATATGAATTTATCTCACGAGTTGAATTAAACTATATCATGTGAGCCTCGTATCTTATGAAACGAGTGCAATACAATTAGTAATAAAGCTACACGTATATTTTATAGGTATGTAACATTCCGATGAACTGTTGCAGTGAAAATTAAATATTTGTCATTTAACGTTAACATGCTTATGTCACAGGAATGACGAATTGTAAAATTATATGCACAGCCGGGCAATAATATTTTTAACAAGCTGCTCGAGATTGTGATAATTATTTTTATTTTCAAGTTTAGACACTAAATGATAAATACTTACACTCGGTAGAAAGTTGTCCATCCAAATTACTGACACCAGAATAGGCGATAAGACCGATAACACAATTTGAGCCACTCGGACTGCTGACGTTGATGCTTGTGATATGTAAACACCCCAAAAAGCCAATGACACTACGCTTAACAAAAACGCCATTATCCTTACTAAGAAAGACCAGGCAAACCTTGACTCATTTTCATTTGAATCTGTAAGATAATTCAAAATTTAATTTTATTTCAGTTGTATTCATTTTTGTCTAATAATTTGAAAATGTAATGAATTCAAGCATATGTAAGACTTCATAAAGAAAGTGTTTTTGCATTAGAAAACCATATTTGTGACTAAAATAAGTTGTGATTTGTCACACTTTGCTACGAAATATTTATTGCTGTTTTAATACATAGGCTATGCCTATTTGTGAATGCAAAACATTTTGTGTTTAATAAATAAACTCCACCTTTGTGCTTGCGCAGCTTCTTGGCTCCAAAATGAAGCTTTACAATTGATGGTATAAACGACACGCTACAACTGTACCATAATCCAGAAATTGGGTCAAGGGATGGAAGCACGTAAAACACGAGGAAGCTGAGCCCAACTGAATGGAGTGTTGCAGGTAAAAGAGCCTTTAATAATCAAATATTTATAAGTATATGAAATAAATAACAATACAAACTGCCTACTATTTAACATAAAACATAAACAAAATATGAACGGTCGATGGGATATATCTTTTATCATTGGATTGTATATTGTTTCCTATACGGAGAGCAAACAAATAATTTGACAGTAGAAGAAAGAATGAACGCACATTTAAAGCAGAGTATTCATGTTTGTGAAGACATCAATATGTTAAGAAATTTTCAATCGCTCATCGTATGTGTGTACGGAAAATTCTTGAAATTCTGTTTTTATTTGTATTTTGTAAAATTAAACATGTAATTGCTATCATGTTCCTGTTATAAGATTGCACGCGTTTTGTGCATAAAAAGGAGAACGTTTTTGAGTTATCTTGTTTTATTTTGAATACTGACAATCATCTGCAGTTCTGTCAAAATATGTTGTTTATAAATTTAACATGTTTTGTTCATCATTGGCTGTTGTTAACGAGATAATACAAAAAAAAATCAAAGAACTTTAGTAAAAGGTGTTTACTGGAATATATAAGAAACATTAAAACGGGTTTTCCTACCACTAAAAGTGTTTTAAAACGTAGAGTTCCTGATTTTCTAAATATTATTCTCCATACACAGAACATCACTGTGAAAACGTTTGGTGTCACAACCATAACAAACAACGCCCAAATGAAATATATATTTGTTATAAAATCATTGCCAGTAGTGGTTTGGTTCACTAAAAAAAATCATGTGTTTATAAAACCAATTAATATTAAAAGCAAGAAAGATTACAAATTGTTGCTTTTTAAGTTGTGCTATCGTATGCTATTCTTAGTTATTTATTCTGAATTGTATGCAAATAAATTGGCTTTGAACTCATGAGTATGTATATGTTTTTACTTTTAAAATCTATACATATTTTCCCTTAAACACATCACATTTCATTAAGTCGCTAAGTGGATTTCAAATTTGTTAAAAAAAAACTAAAAAATTCATTCTGTATGTTTTCGTTTAAAAGTTAATTTGAATGAAACACAAATAAAAATGTACCTGTTATGTTGTAGTGAAAAAGTTTGTCAAACGTCTTCAAACCAGATGATGTTTCATCTGCAGGTGTGAATATATTCCATGTCAAAATAAGTAAAACTCCTTTTGACACAACTGCAGAACACAGCACCACCATGAAAAGAAAGCCGGAGAAAAAAAGTTTGGTAGCAAGGTAAACTTTATTCCAGAAGACATGGCCATCAGGTGGTAATTTGTCTCCCTCTGTTTCTTTAAATCTGTCCCACACCTTTACTCGCCTAAAGGCATAATGAAAACAAAATCAAACATGTAACTCTCCATTTTACTTCACATGAAGACACCTGGATTGAGAAAGCCGTATAAACCATCAGTAAAATGAAACTTAAAATAGCTACATTATGTGAACGGTCTCTTGCATTGTTTGTCTTGGTCATCATATTTTGAAATTTCCTCAGAGTAAAAACAGGGAAATATTAGTCTTGTTTGTTATATTAATAAAGAAAGAATTTATAGATGTCTAGAAACAGCATGCCAAGCAACTGACTTGTTTACATCGAAGGATAAATGATTGATTGACGAAACTGATGTTATGAATTACAGACAACTAGATTATTCGCCATTCAATTGATATACTACAAATACTAATTTTCTGTGTGTATATTTTGTCCTTCCAACAAATGTACTAATCGCAATAATTATCAAAATAACATATTCATTTTTACAGGATATTTTCAATTTTAGACTTATATAGACTTTTTTCATAAACATTTTCTTACCAATCTGCATGCTTGTTTTTCTCCCTAGCACTCTTCTGTAAATCGAAGAAAATATAACTGATATATCAAATCAATTTAACAATATATCACGTGACCTCCTAAGATATGTTGGGTATTATTCACTGTATCCTCGCATGCGTGTTCTAATGGCATAAGCTCAATAAAATTTATGTTGTTGTTTGTGTTGTTAATAAACAATTACACCACATATTGTGTTTTTGTGTTTCTTTTTGTTTATTTTTAAGACAAACACACTGAGGCTGTACAGGTTATATAGTAATAAATTCATATCCATTACTGGAGGATGACCGTATGTGCCTCTTCGTGCATTATTGCAGGCATCGGCAGTAGAGCCGCCAACCTTTTTGGAAGCTTCTTCACATGAACGAGATTAAAGTCCCTGAAAGGAATCAAACCAGCAGAGGGGAGGTGTAAGCGATTTGACGCCGACGACTTTTACCACTCGACTATAGATGTCAAAATTCTTATAGCTTATTTAAAGCATTGTTAAATAAAAATGTACAATGCTTTTAGCACAATGCACAGTGCTTCTTACCAATGACCATTCCTGTTAAACTTGGTTAATGTCTTTGGTATCATAGTAGATGTTGTTTATAGAAATTGTTGACGACGGAAAACGACGGGCGACGGACGGAGGGAATCAAAACAGCTCACCATGAGCACGTTGTGCTTCGGTGAGCTAAAAATAAATGAGTTATTTTAAACTTCTCTATATGTATAAAGGAATTTGTTGTATAAATGTAACTGTTCTTAGATGTTTAAAAATTGTGTTCGTAGGAAACTGATATACATGTATACAATAACTGTACTTACTTTTCAACGAACAAAATCTTTTGGCGTTTTGTGTACCATTGCGTTATAATAGAACACTTTTTCCCCATTTTTATCATTCTAGTTTTAAAGAATATTTTGTTTTGTGTGCGTAACAATTTTATTACAATATTTAATGCTATTTCTTCGTTTTCTTAAAGAAAGAAAAAAATGAGTAAAATATTTGGCTGTGCCGTTATCTCTTTAAATAGCTTATTTACTTCGTTTTATCCCAGTATGTAAATTAGGAAACCGTTTATAATCTTATTGCCACCTGTGGGGCATTTTCATCTTAAATTGTTTTTGACAACCTCTCATTCAAACCTTTGTATTTTATTTGATTTTTTCTGTTAAAGACATGTTCAACTATTGATAAGACCGTTGATTAAATATATATTTGTTATATATGACGTTACAAACAATAGCACAAAGAGTATGCATATTTTAGTTTCTATCTATTCTATCTATGGGAAGTAAAATTAGGCAAGGAAACAAGGTCCTAAGCAGATTCGAAGTGCTATCTCAAATCTTGTCAATTTAATATACAAATGTAATTCTTTTATCGTTCTTAATGATTTCAGTTGGATAATATATCTGCCCATATAGCGCATTTACAACCAAAGAATACTAGTTAAACAATTATAATTAATGTTCTTGCTACATGGCAGAAACATAAGAAAATCTTCATTTGATATTTGTACAAATTTATCTGAGGTGAGACAATGTTAAACGATAATGAAAGTAATGTTGTGTGTGTGTGTGTGTGTGCGCGCGCGCGTGCGCGTGCACGTGCGTGTGCGTGTGCGTGTGTGTATGCGTGTGTGTGTTACAAAATACTAATTCACTATAATAATAGCAAATGAATGAAACTTTTTTGAGAAATAAAAATGTTACCATTTGTCGTCCTTTTTATTGCATTGTTTGAGCCGTGTTGGGGGCGACAAAGTCGCCCCCTATATTCAGGGCTGTTATATTTTCAATCCTTGAAGATTGTTCAGCACTACATTGTCGTTGTATTTGAGTCACTTATAGTAAGTTATTTTCATTTATTTGCTACTAGTTTGGTGGTACCAGCAATCCTTACATGAATACTTAATTCCTTATATTTCATATAATTATAAAAAAAATTAGCAGTTGTTTACTCGGGGACCTTACGCTTTTTTTCTTGGGAAGACACTAATGTGTCACATTGATTAAACCTCCGTATGAACACATTTGCGGATGTTTCTAAATTTATAATTTTACCATTTAAATATCTTAAATGTTCGAATTCTGCTTCAGACGTACACGGGTGCTGGCATTAACAGGTTTAATCAAACCGAATCATCAACATTTTTGATTTTGCCGGTTTTGGACGTTTTTATTTGGTTTAGGATGTCTGCATTGTCCAGTTTAAACTTGTCTCTTGAAGTTGAATAACCTGTTTAACACATGTATGAGGAGTGGATGATTACCCTTATTGCCTGATAACATTAAATAATCTGTAAGCTTGTAAAACATTATTGTAAACCTACTGAATGCATTTTTAAGTTTGCTTATTCTTTAATACGGGTACTTTGAGACGTTATCATATTTAAACGCACCAAAACGGCTCACTATAGATAACGGGTATCAGCGTACTGTCAACTGAATATTATTTATTATATTACGAGATATATCCCGTTTTAAATTTAGTTTTAAATGCGGTTATCTTAAACAAACATGGCCTATAACAGTAAAAAATGTCAATTGATTTCATCATATTTTCAAGACTCAAATCTATCTATTCTTGATATGAATAATTTATAAGCTATCGAAATTACCTTTTTATTTTATCTTTTAAACATATAAAGCTGCATCTCCAGATGAGACAAAATATTTCAAGACAATTAACATTGAGAACATTGTACTAAGATTTAAAGAAAAGATTCATGATTCAAATATCAATTTACATGCTATATGCTTTTGTAATATTTACCACAATAGTTCGAATGTGTTACTAAGACAGTACAAACTATTTTGCACATATTTATCTCTTTTGGTGATTTATGCAGATTGTTAGTGCTGTTTGCAATGTGTAAATTACTTTATTTTTGGTACTTCACAATATTTTACTAGTATATTTCAAAGTATTCATGAAAAATAGAAAAATATATAGAGGCATGTCACTTATAAAACATGTACCGTTTTTTTTAAATCCTGTGTTACATGTACAACATCTCTTTAACTTTTGAATGCATGTTGCTGTCAGTGTTAATAATATCATTTTTGATACAGCTAACTATTCTATTGAAATATATTTTAAAGTTATTTGACGTTCTTTTGTGACCAGTGTAACTTTATTGTTGAATAATAAACAAGATAGCTAACATATATAATAATATACTTAAATATAAACGTTTATGTTTGTTTATAATCAAATAAATAAATAAATAAATAAATAAACAAACAAACAATCGTGTTGAAGTCGATTTTTATCCCAGTGTTTCTTTTTGTTTGGAATACGTCTATAATCATACTATTAATTTATATATTAATTAATACAGTTAAAACTTTATATTGCTGAAAAGTGCATAAGGTAATGATTCTAAAAACGGTATGTATCTAAAATGTAACATTGTCACATATTTGAACAAAATATATAAATCGTTTTTTATAAACATTGTATTACATTAATGACGCTCTTCCATTTTTTTAAAATCTTTTTTTGCCTCGAACAAATTCGGTGATATGCTTTGTTATCTTAACAGTATATGTAATTGATCTGCTAAATGTCCTGAATGAACATTATCATTTCAATCTGGACATTTCTATAAGAGAAAAGTTGCAAATAAAAAGTTATTGAAAAGCGTATAGCGTTGACTGTAAAAGTGCCGGCTGATTTTAGTCTTCACTTTTTGCTTTGGTAGATATATTGCGAGCAAGCTAAGTATTATATTATTACAAATTTTTAACTTGAATGCTACAATAAAGGCGTTGTTTAAAACGTGATAATAATATAATGTTCTTAAAAATAAAAAATATACAACAATTGTTATTCCTACCTCTTCTTTTTCTGACGCCATTCTCCGCTTTCTTCAGGTTTGGATTTGTTGTCAAGAAAGTATTTGTATTCCTTCCATAGAGACTTTTCATGCAGCTTACTCCACACCAGGGAGCAAAGATAAGAGATCGGAATGAAAACCCTGATAAGTTTATTTGTTTAAGATCTGTTATAAATGTAAGTTAGAGGCGCAATGTCGCACATTGCATACACTTCATCGTAATAAAACTGTCCCCTAAATCAACGCCTGCACTTTATGTTTATAAATCAATACGTGAGGTACATATCAAATAATCTAATAAAATTATTTTCGAATTAACGTCAATTTGAGTAAGAATATTCAATGGTTTTATAAAGGGGTTACTATGGGTTATTATACATAAAACGAATTGTTTCGATGTTTTAAAGAATTTTCAATTTCACAACAAGGATTATAATATGACGCAAATGTGTTGTTGAACTTTTACAATGTAAAATTCGAACCGCTTGATATTAAAGATATACCAGTCTAAACGTAGTACATGTAAAACGACAGTTAAAAACATACTTTTAGATATAATTATCATATTTTAGATATTTTAAATGCAATTGCTCTTTTTTTTCTTTTTTCTGTTGTTGTTGTTGTTGTTTGGTTTTACGGCGCACCAGTTAAGGTCATATGGCGCCGAAACAGGAAAAAAAAAGATTTAGGTTAACCTTGGGTGTCAAAATCATAATGCAACTCCATATCACCTACCGGTATTCCAATCGGTAAGTACCCTTGGGGCAGATATTCCTATCCAAAACGAAAACACATGAACAATATTTTCCTTGCATATTCTTCCCACAGGCACGAGTATGTACCTGGGTAGAAAATATGACCTTATTGATATTAAAACCCTCTGTGTTCATCTTAAATGTGTCAAAAGCAAAACAAAAAAGTGAAATATGAGCCCCCTTAAAAATATACTCTAAGTTTAGACACGGCCGGAAACTCTAGATTCGAGTCTACGAGCAAGGGGTTTATTTCTCGGAACGTTGTAAAAGCAATTGTCAAGGCGGTATATATGAATGAATGAATGAATGAATGAATATATTAATGAATGAATGAATGAATGAATATATTAATAAATGAATGAATGAATGAATGAATGAATGAATTAATTAATTAATTAATTAATTAATTAATTAATTAATTAATTAATTAATTAATTAAAATACAAAATATCTTAGTCATCAACTTACATTAAGTAGATATTACAAACAACATTAAACACCATTTAGAGCATAATATTCCTCTACCACGGCCGTTGAATTAAATATTGATAATAAATATAACATTTCTTTGAAGAGTTAGGACAGGTTTGTTTAAATGTGCTATGCATGAGCATAATAGATTATTAGATTTTGTGCATACATTTTTTTTAATTAAAGGCATATTATGCCTCAGATATCCATAGTTTTTCTACATTGTCTATAAAAATGTCAAACATTTATTTTAATTATGGATTAAGAGCATGTAAGATGTCAAACAACTAAATAAGGTAGCACTGAAAACGCGTCGTATAGTCTGCTTATGAATTAAGTTGTTAAATTGTAAGAATTGTTTTAATCCACACAGTGATAAACTTTTAAGTTTCATTAAAAAGAAATATGATAGAGAAAAATAAATATATTGAAGTCTGTATTTTGCTTTCAATGGTATTTTTGCATTTTAACAGTCAGCAACTGTTTAGTGTCTAACTTCAAAACGTTTGAATTTAATTGTAAATCAATTCTCATCCAGAGAATAAAAATGTAACGTGTACCGAGCGAATATATTAAACTAATAACTAATATTCTTTCTTTGGGCTACCTGCCGTTTGATTAGATTCAAATGATTGTTAAATGATCAAATATCATAAACAACTTAAATTAATGATAACGGTTTTCTCAAACATACTTTAAGTCATTATAATGGTAATTTTAACAATCTTGATAGAAGTAACAATAAATTACAAGATTGGCTTTATTTATTTCAGAATGACAAACTTTTTTTTAATTTCCCCACCGTTTAGTGTGCTGTTCTTTTGGAGGGAATAAAGATATTATTAATTTTTGTCGTGTTCAACTTTATTAAGTAATATCCCTTATAACGAAAGCTATCGAACTATATAGCGTAAGCCTGTATTACCCTTATCGTAAATCAAGATTAGATCAAGATAATAAATTTGCTTTCTTATTCAGTGATAAATCACGATGTACTTTGGAGTGAAATAATTTAAGGGCACGGTTGTTAAAACGTTAAAAAAAGATTTAAGTGCCTCTTATCAAATGTTTAGTTAGGCATTTGAAATATCATTGAACATTTAAGACTATGATTGGAATGGTTTGTACAAATAACTCAAGGCTTTCCCGTCTGTTTAACATGTTTAAACCTATCTTAACTTTGTATCACTGACTTCTAGATTAAGTCACAATGTTAAAACTCGTATACTTTATTTGAGTCAAAACTTTATAGTCATTTCATAAAAATACAACGAACATTGACCCTTGAAGTTATTTCACTTGTACGAGGAGGATGAGAGCTATTAGCATTGTAGTCTTAACTTAAACAAAAATACTTAAATGTTTGTTATTCCCTATATAAACTGAGTGAGCCCTGGCACGGAGGAGCGATGGCAATCTATGTGACCCTAGGGAATGACTTACAGAAATGTTGTAGAGGAAAAAAGGTGCTGCTTCAAAACAAATATTTAATTTATTAAATTTCGAAGTTTTAAGACATATAAGCTACGCTTTATCGTACACTTACTGACTAATACGTTATTGAGTATGATGTGATATTCACCAACAGAATGGCATAATGATTATCATAAAATATTTAATGGCTAATTTGTTAAAACTAAAATGAAGAAAATATGACTCCCTAAAGAAACTCCAAAAACGGCAAAAACTGAAAATGTTGCAGACTCGGTATGATGGACGGTACTGTCAAAATACAGTTAAATAATACAACGACACTAAACGAAAAATAACCTTAAAGACTAATACCATCTGGAATGTCATTTGATACGTTATCGTGGACGTTGTGTAACTAGTAGGATCAATATCCGTACATGTATGATAACAAGCTTCTTATCTTTTGTTTGTTTTGTTTTATGGCGCACGGACAAGGTAATAGACGCCAAAACAGGAAGGAGTTAATAAGACATAATAAGCAGGCTTTTGACGTGTTCGAAAGTGTGAAGTTTAGAAAGTCTTGTAAAGGAAAAAGAAGTTTTAATTATCGTGTGCGAAACTACAAAATCTAAAAGATAAATATTTCAATTTGCATTCAGTTTTGTCAAGTCGACCTCTTATCATGTACTTGGTGTCACTAAGTATACATCGACTTCTTTTAAATGTTTTGAAAACATCATCAATCTCGTTGATCCAAACAATAGCCGACATAAATGAAATATTATTATATAAGATACAATCATTGGATTTATATTTACTGGCTGAATTTGATTGTCCTGATCTAAAATAGAAACAAACAAATATTTAATGACCCTATATAGAAGGCAGTTTACTGTTCGTGTGCATATTAATTAAAGTGATCAATAAGGTAATCGTAAAAGAAGACTTGTGTTCTTACAAGACAAACAAACTATTATGCAAAGATCCTAGGGTATTATTTCACTCTTAATTTAGTGACATATTTAATTATCAACGTCCAACCCAGTCTGATATCTTATAGGCTATTATTTCGGAACAATTGAGAGCACAGCAATGCAGGAATAATCATATATGTTTTTCTTTAATGGCATCTTATTATAAACTTATTAGTTTGACTTGACAAGTTTTGTCTCTGTAAAACTCCAACTAATCATCTGCCAATCTTGCAAATCATTTATTATCGCTAAAATGATTTATAACGCTTGTCAGCACAAATGGAATAAATAAACAAATACCGCCTCCACTTCTGATTTATATAGTAAGATCACAAAAAGTTAATTGTTTTTTGTTGTTGTTTTTTTTCTAATGAAAGCAAATTCAAGTTTGTTAAGAAGGTGGCTTAGCTTTTCCTTCTGTTCACATAATTATTACATGTATCATTATGAGTTATCAAGTGCACATAGCCATGACATGATTTAGGGAAAGGGATAGAATAAATATACATTACTTTAGTTTTGAGATAGTGCCTTTGCACATATAAATACATTAACAAGTGGTGATGTGAATACATTTATACATCTTTGATAAATTTTATACAGGAAGGCAACTCAAAAGAATTGTCTCATTCAGTAATTGTAGATTTATATGACGTAATTATACTGTTGATTATTCGTGTTGTTGATAAGATAGGTATTGCTAGGAATGTCAACACATTGTGTTTCTCCTGCACTGATTTATTATGTTTTGAATTGTATGCAAATATCAGTAAAATAAGTACCAGTTCACAAATATTATGTAATTTTGTTCACAACTTTCACGTGCGCTCTGCCATAAACATTAAAGTTGAAAACTTTGTCATCATGGATTGGTTAAATGCTTTTTTATTTCAAACTTTTGTTTTACGGTTATTACATATTAGTTACCTCACATAAAACAAAATATGAAAATGTAAAAGAAAAAGATATGAATAACTCAGAACAATGCATTATGTTTAAAATCGACTGCTTATAAGATAGACAAGTTAAATGTTTTTTTTAAACAAATGATTATATCAAACGCGAAACATGGTTCATTTACAACATCCTTATTGTTGTTTGCATATATTTCTGTGACATGTGCGATAAATTTTCACTTGACATTTGATCTTCAGAAAATAGTATTCTTACAATTCAGCTCAACTGAAGAAAGATTTTCTCCAAAATAGTTTCTGTATTCCATTTGCATAATTTGTCTGATTGTTCTTTGACATTTTAATCAGTCTGCCAGTGCATGATATTAGAATTTTACATTCTAAATTTTCATTTTCATTTTAAAAAGAGTTTTAAAATAGAATGTCATAAAGGATACTACGAAAATGCTATTAAAGTAAACTATTCTGATGAAATTATTTTATAAATGTCGATACAGGTAACAAAGTGAATAAATAAATAACTTTTTTATAATTATTCGGCCTATAAGCACTGATCGATTGAACGTCAGGGAAATCAAGGAACACTGTCTATGTTTACTAAATATAAAAGCAACAAAAAAAGCTTATAATATGTTAATATAAAATATTAATTGCAAGAAAGTATTAA